GAAAATAATAGTTTTAAAATTAAAATACAATTAAAATTAGTATAAATTAACAGTAAGACGGTAATTGTGGAAGTTTCTCATAAAATATGAATTTGATCAGCACAACAAATATTTACAAGAAACTCGTGAGAAAAGAGAAGCTAAATTATATTCCGTCATATCGTCTTAATGTGACAATATGTTATAATTATCTCGAACCAATCCTGCAAATTTAGCAGCATTGTTCGTGGTTAATTGGGATTGGAAGTGATACGTGACGTATCTAATTAAACCCTCGTCACCGACAATTGCAAACTTCAGCGTGTAAATCAAAAAATTTTAAATTCGTCAATTTAAATTCGCCATTTGCTATAGTATATTATGCAAAGTGCGGTAAACGGCATTTGATTCACGAGTTTATTTGGCACGAGCGGATCAGTGCTTAAGGAACGAGTGAGATGAAGAGTTTATCAGACGTGTTGCATTGTTCCACGACCGTCACGAAAAAATCACAATTTAACAAATTAAAAATAATAACAGATTATCTGATTATTCAAATTCGTTTATCGTTCCGATCGGTTCTACTATTGTTGTCTCTTTTTAACTGTGTACGTTAGACAGAGAGAGATCTATTATTGGATATGTCATATAAACAACGGAATAAACACAGTTTTAAAACGTTATGTTGTTTATTTCAGTTTTAAAATTGATCGTTAAGTAGTTTATTTAAATAAATAGACTAATTGAAAGCAAAATCATTCAAGGTTTTAAGAGGGTTAAATTTTTAACATCGTATAAGCAAGAAGAAGCAGGTCCTAACCTTCAATTTCAAACAAACAAACAAAAGTCAAAATTCAAACCCGTGAAGTGGCTCGGAAACGTGGGAAACGAAACTGACGTGGTAAGGTGAGGCTTCCCGCACACTAGATCGCTGTGTAATTAGGTATTTTAAAGGCGGGAGTAGAAAAAAGTATTTTGCATATAGGATTTTCAACGCATACGTGATGACACAATTGAAGGTTCTGGGGGAAAGTAAATGCCATCTGTAGAATATTTATCCAATTTGATTAAATAGCTTAACTTAACTTAATTAACTTTGTGACTATTTAGAAAAAAGATGCTGAATTAATGAAAATACAGCAACATTTTTTGATTTCGGAATAAATTTTTCATTTATAAAAATGAGTCCATGAATGGGATGACAAATGACCAAAATTAAAACTTGCGAAGAACCATTTATGGCATATTCAATAAGAAACAAAAATGGTATTTATGTTTGGCAAATTTAATAAGAAACAGGAGCGACGTTTGTGTTAATTAGTGTTACGACACTATGATTCTGACATCTTGTTCACTTTCGTATTAATTCGTATGATTTCGGAAGTGCAAAACCCATTGCATAGAAAAAATGGTACCAGTACCAAGGGATTATCTTCCGAGCTTTTTCTTATAACACCCGATAACAAAGTAAACTGGACAGAATAAAATTCACGTCAAAATTATATAGCATGCATAGAACTATATTATTTTGGGACAATCAAAATCGATACATATCAAATATGAACGAGGACAAGGTTTCACCTGCCGATCAACGTAAAAGAATCGATACACCTATGCACGGAAATTTGTAATTCAATTACGTTTCTACATGAAAACGCGCGCCAATACTTGAGTTGATTTGGAATCCAAGCCGAAGGGAGAAATTTCTCACGTGCTAACAAAAAAACGACCTAAAACGTATAACCCCCAACCAAGGCTAAAACGGCAGGTTTTTGTTTACAATTTTCCATGTGCCCACGGGGAGACACTGTTGTGTCTGAATGACTTGCTCTATTTGTCTCCCTATTTCGGGAATATTAAGGGAGATTTCGTGTCAAGCCTCCGACCTTTTTGTATATGGTTGCCGTATTTTCAGGAATGAACGACGAGAAGCTTTTACATCAGATTTCGATGTTATTACGCGTTTACTTCATTGCCCTTAAATGCTCATTTTTAGCATTCAGCAAATGGTATTTTTATAAGGGCCGTTTTCTTTCCCGATGCGACGCTAAAAATTTTTAATGAAATTCCAGAGAATTTTATAACAAAAGATTTTAAAAAATAATAAAAGTCGATCTCTCGGCTTACGAAATTTCCCTATTTATCACAACGATCTATTTAAAAAAAAATTTGTCTGCTAGTGTTAACTTAGAAACTATTGAATTGCTTACACGAATTGTTGAGGTTTAAATTAAACTTAAAAAAATAATATACAGTGGAGTTCGGATATAGTAAACATGGTTATAATGAACCAATAGAAATGTTTATTGTTTATAGTGAACCCGGATAAGGTGAACTTTAGGATACAGTGAACTAAATTTCATCAAGATTAAGATACATTTTCAGTTCAGTTCAGTCAGTTGTGATTTAGATTTCGTGGAGAATATTGATGACAGACCTTTAAATGGATTTGCCTAAAGCAACTGTCTCCATTACCTGGGAAAAAAAGTTAGGATTCTCTCGTCTTATGGTCAAGTGAACGCGCAAGTTGTAAAAGGCTCAGAAAATCAGCTTATGAAGGCGTCAATAAGGGATTTTTATAGTGGTTTACTCAAAAGAAAATGTTCCCATAAGTGGTCCAGTTTTTCAACAAAAATCAAGTGAATTTGAAAGCAGAATAGAAGGAAAAGATTTTGTGTGTTCCAGAAGTTGGATTGGACGTTTTAAAAAGAGAAACTGTACCTCTGGAGGAAAAATTGTTGGTGAGCTTGCATCAGTTGATATGAATGTTGTTAATAACTGGCTCACAACGATTTGGCCGGATCTTTGCAAAAATTATGACAGTGACAATATTTTTAACGCCGATAAGATATGAAAATTCCAAGCAGAAAGGTGTGCAGATGAAAAATTGTCCAAAGTTCGAATAACAGTTTTGGTTACAGCAAACATGACTGGGACAGAAAATGGAAAGCTGTTTGTTATCGACAAATCAGTAAACCCAAGATGTTTTAAAAACAAGACCCTACCATTCAAGTACAGGTCAAACAGCAGAGCGTGAATGACATATGACTTATTTACCGAAGAGCTGCTTCAATGGGATACAGAACTGAAGAAGAAGAACAGAAAAATTATTCTTCTACTAGATAATTGTCCAGCACATCCAATTGTATCGTTGAACCAAATCAAACTGGTTTTTATCCACCCAATACCAGTTCAAAACTGCAGCCCATAGATCAAGGCATAATCCACTCCCTGAAGTGTCACTATAAGAAGATATTGCTGATAAAGATGATAGAAGCAATTGATGATGGACAAGAGTTTTTAGTGAGCTTATTGAATGCTGTAAATTTTGTTCACCGTGCTTGACAGGAAGTTAGCAAAAACACTATTGCAAACTATGCAGGATTCTTTGAAGTAGAAGATGATTGCCTCTAACGGAATGGCTAAAAAAACATTCGGGAGATCCCGAAAATACTGAGCAAAGTTACGTTTCAACAGACGATTAAGTAAGTCCAACCGACTCTTTGACAGAAGACTAAAACATCCAGTTAGCGTAACATGAAATAATGACTGAGTTAGGTTATTTTTTTCAGAAACAAATGCAGAATTGAGTGAAGATGAGTTGAACGAGGAGGCTATTGAGGAAGTGGCCAAGATCAATGTTCCTTCAGTAAAAGACCTGACAGAAAAATAATAGAGATTCGCACGTTTTTGGAGTCACCCGACGTTCCTGAGAAAGTTTGGAATTCTTTTTGTAACCTTATAAGCTATATAAGTAATATTAACTTTTCTAACAGACCCCTACCATCCAAAATATCCGACTTGTTTATCGAAGAGTAAGTGAATGCATGTATTTTTTTAGATTATTTTTTTTTTAGATATTGTTTACCTGGTCTTGTTCATTTGTTACTTGTTTAGTACAGAATATTTAATTTAAACTTTTCCAATATTACGTAATAAATATACATATCTAGAAAAATGCTAGTATATCGTGGCATTTTTTACAAAACCAACGTACATAATACTATATATTATTTAATAACCTTCATTCCTAGGGTAAATATAAGGTGTGTACAAAAGTTCATTTATTGCTCATAGTAAACCTCGGATTTCCGGACTTCAATATACCTAATTAAAAAATAATAATCGTTGCTCAAAATTGTATACAATATTTTTCCCTCATTGTCAAACTAACTTGAAGCCACTTAATATGATTTTTGAAGCTTAAAAATCGGATATCAATTAAAAGTTCCGCGAAAATGTTTTTTTTTTCTTAATTATCTGGACTTAACAAAAACAGTATAATACCTATATATTTTAAAATACACCTTTTAAATACCTTTTTACAAGTAAAGTGGATATTTAGATTATAACTTTCAGAATAATATCTAGTCGAGCTTTATCCGCTCAAACCAAAAAATTAAAATTATTTTTTAAGCTACGACTTACCTAAATACTTTTGAATTATTGTCACGTGTTATATTATTTACTATACAATGCAACGTATGCAAAATACTTCTTGTTAAGCACGAAATAAAATAACCATCATTATTACACAGCAAAAGAGCTTTTTCTATTGCAATAATAAAGTTACAACAAGGCGCGTAAAGTTTAAAGAGAAATTCGCTTAAGCTAGCGCTATTATTTTTTATCGCAAAAAGGTTAATGTTTCATTCTCTGTATCATTAGTAAATACATAAATCCAACATGTAACTTAATTAAAACCAACTTTTTCTTACATGACAAAATGGAACCAAATTAAAATCCGTCATATCATAATATGCTGAAGACAAAATATATAGGTATAAATATATAATATTTTGTATTTTTATATGGATAATTTGGCGATAATTATATTTTTTCTTTTTCCCCTATTTAATTGACTATGGCCTACACTTACATACATTTATAATAAATTTTTTATTGTTTTTTTTTATCAGGTTGTAAAATTTGAAAATGCCAACAGTGCTCACCGCAACAATTTTAGAAAGTAAACAAATTTGCACGATAAAAGTTTAAAAAAGTCGAACAACGAAACTCACCGAAAAATAAAAAACAAAACCCAAAGAAGCACATTTCTCGAATCACCAACCGCCCATGACAGGTAGTGCTCCAAGCACTTGTCGTATACCAAAAAATACCTTACGAGAACAAAAGGGCCGTCCCGAATGTTCCGAGAAGATACCAACCCCTAAAATTGCCGCCACCGTACTGTTGTCAAAGTGCCGGCGCGCCACACAATGTAGCTATATGCGGCGTTGCCAGTTTTAGAACAAACAATTTCCCCATACGGGTCTGTTAACGTAAAACAAATGCTGGTAGTTTACATTATTATCTCGTTAGGAAGATGATGTACAAGGCTAGGCTTGTGTTAAATTCGTTTTGTAGTATATACAGATTACATTTTGCTAGAGTTGGCATCCATAGCTACAGAGTTTTATCTAGGTACATTTTTTCAATAGTGACTGCTTGGTATAACTAGTTGCTGGTTTGTTTACACCTAGCAATCGTTAAGCCACACGTGTACGACAGTTTCGAACCCTTTTAAGCATGCAAATTTACAAAATTATCGTTGCACTAATCTATTAGCAAAGCGAACAAAATCGGGTGCTCGTAATTTGAGTTGCGAAAATGTAATACTTTTACTCACTACATCTTTTGGATAAAGTTAAAGACGTTTTAGGTCTCATTTTTCAAATTGTCAGTTATTTTCATTGAAATCACACCTTTACTTCAAGGTACTACACTTAAAATTTAAGTGTTGTAAGATCAAAGGTTAAACCTGCACACCTAAGGTATCATAACATTAAGTTATTAAGCATTTATATTCAGGTCTCTCTCAGCGGACCCTCTTTTATAGTCCATTTATTTCAAAGTTGGGTCAATATTGTTAACGCCTTTAAATCTCCTACATTGAAAATTATAATTGCGCTTACAAAAAAACCTATAATCGTTTCTGCGAAATGATGATAATATAATTATGACTATTACTATTAATTGTAATGTAACCGTTAAAATGAGAATAACATGTGTAGGTCTCGTAATCATCACATTCATATTTATAATTATATATAACTGGTACTTAACTTAAATTTGTTATACCACGATTGTATTTTATTTAATTGAATGTATACTTTATACAAAAGAAAATAGATCATAGAGATACTAATATATTCCTTAGATACAACACGAAAATAATAATAATATAAAATTCCCATAATTTATTCTTCTACTCCCTGCTCTAAAATACCCAATTATGCATGGATCAAGCGTACGAAAAGCTTCCAATTCGGATGTTTCTGGTATTTTAGTAATGAGTCGATCAGATGGTTTCGGAAGATTTTGGCCCTGATATTTTGCCGTTTATCAATTTTAACATTGACGTCACAGGCCACACAATTTCTTTTGCTTTTTAAGGTTAATGCTTTAATATTTATCTGTAATAAAATATACATAACAAAACTATTACACAATCAACTTATAGGTAATACTGCAGCAAAGTTATTAAATTACAGGTTTTTTTCAGGAACCGGCAATGCCGGTACAGACTTTATGAGACGGTCGGACCTGACCGTCATAAAAATGGCGCATGCACCACGCAAAGGACGAGATATTAGGTAAAATATGCGTAGTCTTGTGGAAGTGAATGAAAACAGACAATGGGAATGAGTGGAATGTGTGCATAAGGGTCAGATGATAATGCACCACTGCGTCCCAAAAATTGCAACGCGCAACTTTGGTGGAGATAACTTTCTAGGCTATTAAGATGAGACGGTTGAGTTATTAAGTTAGAAGATGGTTTTTGCAGCAAGCGTGTTAAAAGTTTTAATTTTCCCTCATTGTGTCGTTTCAGAAAATATCGAAATAATACTCTGCTCCGAGGATAAATAGGAATGGGAACTATTTACCGTCCTTGTCTATTATAGCAATTTTCCCAACACCGGGCATATTTTTTTAACTCCTTTGTCAATCAAGAATTTTTCAAAGAATCGCCGAGAAAATTCTTTAATATAAGAAAAGCGACTGACATAAAGAGAATTAAATTATAACAGCGAATCTAGCAATATTTTGAGAAAAGACTGCCGTAAATATGCTATAGCGTAGGTATGTAAATGTAAATGTTTTAAAATTTATATTATCAATTTTTTTGTCCACCCGCAGATGTATGAAAAAAGGTGATATTGACCAATGTTGTGTCGGCATTTCATGTACACAGTATAAGTGACGATTTAAGGCGTTATCTGTTTGGATGAATATAAGCCGGTTGGTTATTGGTTTTCCATTATTTGGTAAGGTAAATATGGGACCGAAGATCCCAATGAGTAAATATTTAGTCTAAATGAATGAAATGAATGTTTAAAACCAATAGATCTACGAACATTTCTGCGCCCTCTGGTCTGATTTTGCATATAAATATACAGGACCTAGCATCACACATAGACGAGTTAACTGAAATAATGCAGGACAATCAACCTCTTGCTGTCTGTATAAGTGAGACGCATATCACGGAAGATATCGAGGAGCGTGAGTTTAATATTGATGGATATACTGCCATTGTTTCATTTTCCAACAGCAGATATACTGGTGGTAGCATACTATACATTAGAAATGGTATCAATTTCAAACTTTGCTTTAAAGACGCAGTGGACTACAGCTACTGGGCAGTTGCTGCAATAGTCCTCTTTGAGAGGGAGACGGTGTTAATAGGATCACTATATAGATCACCGAATGGATATGTCAAACAGTTCCTAGATTATCTTGTAGAAGAATTAATTGACCAGAAACAAAGAACATATTTTTTGGGAGATTTAAATATCGATTATTTGAAAAATAGTAATGACTCCAAAAAACTTCAGTCCGTTGTTAATTCGACTGGTTTTAGGCAAATAGTAACAAAGGAAACACGAGCTACCGTAAGTTCAGCTACACTAATTGATCAGATAATAACAAATGACTTCAACGTAGAGGAGGTCCCGAGAAACTTTCCTGTCATCAGTGACCACGAACTATTGGCGTTCAAGTGGAAGTTCGAAGAAAGACACTAGCAAGTGAGAATGTTTATATCAGAAATCTGAGTTCTCAAAATATTAATCAAATACGGGAAGCACTTATTGGTCAAAATTGGAATTACACATCCACGGATGTTAACAAAATATATGTGGATTTTATAGGATATCTCCGCTCCGCGATAGGACAGGCGCAACATGTTAGGGACATTGCTTACAAAAAGTTTAAATACACCAAAGGTGAAGAAGACTGGGAAGAATATAAAAGAAAAAGAAATAACGTTATTTCAGTTATCAGAAATGACAAGCAAAGATACTATCACCAAAAAATTGATGATTGCAAGAGAAATGGAAAGAAAATGTGGCAGACATTAAAAGGACTTGTTGGAAATAAAAATAAAAAAGCAGATTTTACCAATATTGATTTTGGACATTACAGTGACAAAGAAGAAGAAAACATGAATAACTTTTATGCCGATAGCTTAAATGAAATAGCAGAGAGTATAGAAAAGAAGCAATGGCATTCTGTGTGTGACATGGTCAGCTGTAGCTTGTCTTGCTTTAAAAAAATAACGATATCGGAGCTTGAAAAAACTGTAAATAACCTAAAAAATAGAAGTACAAGTGACTCTGTTCTAAATATAAAACTCGTCAAGGATTTATTTTGTGTAATAGGTTATCCGTTGTTATATTTGGTGAATGCGTCTTTAAGTGCTGGAAAAATCCCTGATTAATTAAAAATAAGCATTATAGTGCCCATACCTAAAGTGTCAAAACCGAAAACACCTGGTGATTTTCGACCAATTAACTTGCTGCTAGTAATGGATAAAATCCTGGAAACGATAGTGTGTGGGCAGTTGAGAGACTACCTGGAGCAGAACTGCCAACTCTACAGTGGCCAGTCTGGTTTCAGGAGCAAACACTCGTGCGAAACTGCGTTGCAATATATGTGTGCAGTGTGGCGGAAAGACATGAATGAATCAAAACTAATTGTGAGCGTTCTTATTACAAAATTAGGTTTATATGGTATTAAAGACTCTGAACTAGAATGGGTAAAGAACTTTTTTTCTGATAGATCTCACCAAACTAAAATTAATAATAATGTTTTTAGTCATAGGGATAGCAGATGGGGAGTACCGCAGGGAAGCGTTTTGGGCCCGCTTTTATTTATTATTTATATAAATGATATGTATCAGGTTTTAAAAAACTCCTTTGTTAACTTATTTGTTGATGACACGCTTATTTCAGTCTCTGGATATACAGGGTAATAAAATTGAGTTTGTTTCCGAAATTAAATATTTAAGGGTGATCTTGGATCCACAATTATGCTTTTGTAATCATGTTGAATATCTATGCAAAAAAATTGGTAAGAAAATAGGGTTTTTAACCGTGTATCGCGGTTTTTATCGCAGGGGACTAGGATGTTAGTGTATAATAGCATAATTTTGCCTCATTTTTGTATGTTTGTTCATTGCTTATATCTTGTACAAAAGAAGATTTAAATAAGTTACAGTTACAACAAAATAGGGTTATACTCCTATAAAGAGTATGTTAGACCAGTTAAATTGGCTAAATGTCGGGCAGTTCATTAGAAAAGCAAGTTTAATATTGGTTTATGGAATTGCGCACGATCACCAACCAGGCTATCTTAAATTATGGTTGGAAAAAAGGTCAAACTTTTATCAATATAATATACATTCCAATCAGCACTTCAATGTTTCTATGGTAAAAATAACAAATTTACAGAAAACTCTATTCTACGATGGTGTTTGTAATTTTAGTGAACTGCCGGATAATATTAAGGGCGCGCCGTGCCCAAGAGTGTTCAAGAAGAGACTTACGGGGTATTTGCGAAGTTGATAGTTTTGTTTATGCAAATGTTACTTGGTTATGTAAATAGCCAAGTCCTAAAATAAATAAATAAAAAAACTGATGAATTGGCCTGTAACATTTAGTTTAGATGGCTACAAGATTTTTCTTCGGAACATATAAACAATTTCAAATTAATGTAATTTTTATTCAGATAAATCTCTGCTGCGCGCCCAAAATGCGTGTTTCCTGTTGGATAATTTTTATGGAGTAATATCTTTCAAATAAATATACTGACTGTAACTATACGATTTTAAAAGTCGATACTTCTGGTTTTGTCCAAAAATCGCCAACCACACAATTTCTCAATTAACAATAAGCCTAA